GACATGGCCCCCTCATCCGGAACTTGAGTGAGGGAGAACATGGGCCAAGGAGGAGACACTTCCTGGTCCTCAGGGTGCTTCTAGTCCAGCAGACATGTGACCCAAATGGAGAGGGGCCCATTTGAGGCCAACCACAGCTCACAGCATGGAGATCTTCACGGGCCCCTAGACTAAGGACAGGAGGGGACTTAGGGGGACAGCAGCTCATCTGGAGCCTCTCCCATTCTTGTCACGTGTCCCAGGTGTCCCACCACGCCCCCTCTTTGGGCCCTCCTCCCCAGGTCAGGGAAGGAAGTTTCTCTTAAAGTCCCTCACACTAAAGAGCTGGTTTCCACATTCCTCCCTGCATACAGGGGAGGGTGATGAGAGAGAACATGTTTTTCAAGAACAAGGCTCATTCTCCACCCAAGCCAAAGTTCCCCTAATGGAAGCATTTTGGGCACCATCAGAGGAGATGTTTAAGTGCAAAAGGGCTTTCTTGGAACCTCCCAAGTCACACCGCCCTGGAAGCCACTTCTGGGCAGCAAAGAGGCTGAGTCTCACCCCATCTCCCACCCCCACGCTGGCCCTCCTGATGCCCACAGCCCCCCTCCCCAGAGCCCAAGGCCACCGTCAAACTCTGCTCTCACCGCAGATGACGACGCTCTGCACAAATATTTACACAGCTCCTCTCTGGGGGGATGGCAGACACAACACGGAGGAGCCACCCTCCCAACACTCTCCAGACCCCGGAGCGGGCCAGAAGTGGTGAACACCCTCAGTCCTGGCAGACTGACTCACCCCTGGGCTGGGGCGGGGACAGAAAGCTCCCAAGCAAGCCAGGGCACCCTAGTCCCGCTCAGCAATGACCCTTCCGTGGAACCCTTGGAGAGAAAGTGCTGGCTGGGGACAGCAGGGCCCCTCAGGCCCCTGTGCCTGGCTCCTGGCAACCATGCAGGGGCAGGGGGAGGGGCAAGGGCAGGGGCCCTCACTGGCCCCATATCCAAGGGGCCCAGGCCCTGAATGGAAGGCCCAAGGCGGAGGGAGCCCCCCTGAGGCTTCCGCCCCCTAAGAGGGGTGTTACCTGTGTCTACCCTCATTCCCCCAGGGGTCACTCTGGTCTGCTCCCATCGCAAGGACACAGGACACACCTAGGCCCTCACCTCTGTCTGACCTAGGCACCCAATCTATCCAGGGGCTCCTTCACCAGCAACCCAGCTGATGGGGGTCTGGGGGCCTGAGGATCATGACCTGGCAGGGCAGAGGGGGTGGGTGTCTGAGCTTGGGGAGGGGTCAGCCATAATGGAGTAGGGAGGAGTATGGGACTATCACACTGAGGAGTCTGATTTCAGGGGACAGGGAAGAAATGGGGAAATGGCCTAGGGTACGTGCAGGTGGCTGATGCCAGAAGTGTCTGCCCAAGCACCTGGGAAGCTGAGGTCTGAGTCTGGGGGCCATAGACCAGTGGGTGTGGGGCCATCACTGGAGCTCTGGCTCCCCATGGGCACTAGGGACACTGGGGAGCAGGCTGGCCCCATGGTCTCCACCCCTCCCCCAGCCCACAGCTCAGCTGTTGCAGGGGGGCCCTCTGACCCTGTTACCATGGCAACCGGCCTGCAGCTGGAGTGCAGAAGCCGACAGCCTCTTCTCTAGAGACACCCCCATCCCCACCCACGCACAGGCTCCTGGGGACACAGGGACATGCAGACCAGGCCAGAACACGCAGAGGTATGGGGAGCCAGAGAGAGATTTCCAGACACAGTCCAGAGGGGCAGAGGAAGAGAGGCGAGGAGGAAGGCTCAGGGGTGCTGAAGGGAGGGAAGAAGAAAGGTGCAAGGAGAAGGAGATGAAGACCAAGGGGGCAGGAGTCAGCAGGGAGGCCAACACCGGGAGAGGAAGAGGAGCAGAGACCAGGCGCACAGGCAGCCCGGCTGAACTCGGTGGGAGGCGGGGCTCAGAGAGATGAAAACAAAGAGCGCAGAGAACAAAAGGGACCCAGAGCAGGGCCCCTCCCTGAGGCCTGGCAGATGAGGGGGGCAAGGGAAGAGGAGCCATGCTCCAAGGGACCCACAGCCCCCCTTCCAGCCATGTAGGGACACAGGTGTGCAGCGGCAGCAGCTGCCGCCAGGACCCGGCCCCCGGGCCCCGCAGGGGTGTGGCCGCCTGCCAGCCCCCTGCTGCTGGCCCTATTCCCAGTTCCACCTTACTCCTGGGCCTGATGTTAAGGGGCACAGACGCAGGGCCAGTAGTGAGTCTCTCCCTCCGGCTCACATCCCCCGCCAGTCTGGCCTCCCCACCTCCCAGCAGTCCCAGCACCTAAATAATGGGGCTGTCTGGCTCCAGGCCCTGACACTGCACAGAGCGGGGCTAGAGGCACCGACACAGCGCAGCTGTCCGCAGTGGCGCCTGCCAGCAAGAGGCCTCGCCTCGTTCCCAGCCACCCACCTCCCTGGCGCGGAAGCCCAGGGACCCACTCTCCTGTGGCTGGCCCCGGCAGAGACACAGAAAAAGGCCTGGACAGAAACAAGGGTGGCTCGGGCATCCCTCGCCTCTGCCGCCCTATCCGGCCCACGCACGAAGGTGTGAGCTCCGTGCACGCACATACATAGCGCAGGCCAGGCCACAGGGATTCGCCCAAGGGACGAAGTGTTTCAAGGCAGAGGGAAGGGAGGCAGAGGAAACCTGCATCCTAGACCTCAAGTGCCAGGACAAATGGGGGTCAAGGCCAGCCTGTGGGCCAACAGGAGAAACGAGGTGAGAGCAGACAAGAGGGCAGGCAGAGATGGCTGGCATCCGACTTTCTGGGTGGCAGCCCCATTTGGAGGAGTAACTGGAGGGAGGAAACAATCTGAACTTGGGCAGGGGGCCTGGGTTCTAGTCCTACTTCGTCCACTGATTAACTGGTAACTGGACCTCGGCTTCTCAGTTTCTCCATCTGTAACTCAAGTGGGCTGGATTAAATGATCCTCAAAGTCACCAAGATCCCATGATAGCACCTCTGCAGGAGGGGTCCCATGGCTATCTTCGCCCAAAGGAGCCAGCCTGGGGCAAGCGGGAAGGCCAGCTCCCCAAACTCTATGGGGAAGACAGAAGCACCCAGGTCCCTGTTGCCAAGGGGCTGAGCGAGCACACTATCCTAGAAGTAGAAACAGGCTCAAGGCAGTAACCAAGTTCCCATATTACACACTTTCTGGTGTTAGACCTGAACCCAGGACTTATGCATCTGCATTCTTTTCATTATACCAATAGTCTGCAAACTTTCAAAATAAAACTGTACCTCAAGTAACGTGCAGTATAAAGATCTGCCTGTAACTATTTGGGGTCATTTCTAATAGGTGACAGCAGAGCAAGAACGAGTAGGGCTCTGCTCAGACTGACGTGGTTCCATCCGCAGCTCTGCCAGTTTCTAGCTGTGTGACTTGGGGGAAGTTTCTTAATTTCCCCGAAGTTCAGTTTCCTCATCCATAAAATGGAGATAAAAATAGTATCTATTTCCCAGGGTTGTTGTGAAGATTCCATGAGATAATGTAAGTGAAACCTTTAGCCCGGCATCCCGTACACGGGAGCACCCACCCCTGCTAGCTAGCACTCGATGGCCCGTCAGATATAAAAACAGATCTGCTCCGATTACCGTTCTGGAGAGACTGTAGTGAAAAATCGGACAGAGGGCCCTGCCCTCAGAGTTTGCATCTAACCTCCCGGGCCCCTGCCTCCCAGCCAGAACCCCAATTTTCTATAAGCAAACTCTCTTCCACAGGGCCCCAGTGATTGTGCGCCCTCTAAGGCTGTCCAGGGACGTCACAGGCTGTGCAGGCCTTCGAAAACAGGGCCGTGGATAGATGCAAGCCTTTACAGGGCCGCGCCAGCCGACTCTGAGCATACAGGGGATATTCCAGGGACAGGGACAGGGACAGGGACAGGTGCATACAGGGACGGCTGGCTCTCTTTGCCTGCCCCCAGGGGAAGGCAGAGTGCCCTGTATGGCAGGTAAGCTCCTTTGGGGCAGTAACCTCACCTGGCTACCTCACTGCTCTATCTACAAGACCCTAGCGCTGCACCTGGCTCACAGGGGTTCAGTAAGTGCTCATCAGATACACACTAGTGAGTAGCAGTTTGGGCATCCATGGTCAGTCCAGTGGCACTTCCAGAGCCACCTCCCCAGCCCTGCGATACCTGCAAGGCTCCCAAAGCCTTTTCACTGCCCTCCTTGAGCAGAGCCCACCCCACCCAGGGCAGGCACAGTGCGGGGAGCAGCCCCGCCCACGGCGCTGTTTATCCACTGTCCAGAAGCCCAGAGCAGCTGGGCCGGGAGGCGGTGGCTGAGCAGAGACACCTGGTGCAGGAGGGGGTGGTGGGCGGGTACTCATTAGATGAGACAAAGGGAACTGTGGTTGTGGGGAAAGGCACACATCTCCCACCAGGTGCTGTTTAAGTAAAGAAGAGAAAGGGGCAGGAGAAGGGCAGCCAAGAGCCAGCCAGAGTCCTGCATCCCCTCCCTTGCCTCGTCCTCAGTGACATCTACGAGACCAATCACCTGGCAGGGGCTGCCCTAGCGTAGCTAGAGGCCTGTAGCCAGCCGGAGATGAGCGCCCAGCCGCCAACCTGACCTTCTAGCCTGACTCCGTCCACGCACTTGCCATCCCGGCCCCGTCAAACTCCACTCCACCTACCTCAACCTGCCCACGTTTGTCTAGGGAAGGAAAAACCAAAGGCGCCAGACCCACAGCCAAACAGACCCTTGGCCACCCCGAAAATCATCCCGCCAGAGTGCATGAGGTGAAGAGACCCACACCGTCCTGCCGCCCCAGTGCCCAGCCCGCGCCTGCCACCTGACCCACAGCAGTGGCCCCAGTTGAGGTCACGCCCCCAGGGAACTCGCCGGGTCTCCCCCACCGCACCCTCGGGCCTCCCGGATCCCGCTGCCCCTTTTCCCACCCATGTCCCTCGCGGCCCCGCCCCCTCGTCGCGGCCCCGCCCCTCGTCGCGGCCCCGCCCCTCGTCGCGGCCCCGCCCCCGCCTACCATCCTTCCGGTAGAAGGCGATCTCCACTTTGCGCTCCTCCGCGCCCAGCAGGGCCTGCGCGATCTGCGCGGCCGCGCGGCGCTGCGTGCGCGGCCCGTGCAGGAAGTCGCAGGTGCAGGGCCGCTGCATCACTTCGGCCCGCGAGTAGCCGCACAGCTCGCAGAAGCCGTCGTTGCAGTAGATGACGGCGCAGTTCTCCACCCGAGCGTTGGCGATGATGAACTTGCGGCCTGGGGGGCGGGGATGAGCAGGCACGTGAGCAGGGACCCCTGCCTCGGGGGCTCCCAGCCCTTTCCCCGCATTCTCTTGTCACACACAGCCACCCGCCCGGGGACTCCCCGCCCCAGGGAGCACAGCGGGGACTGGGGTCCCCAGCAGGGGGCGAACACAGCTGTGCCCCAGACACAGGTGCCTCGGGCCGGGTCGGCCCGGCGACGCGCCCCCTCCCCGCCCGGCCCGCGGGCTGGCGGCGTGGCTTCCCTCGGGCAGCCCGCCAGCGGCCCCCCGCCCCCTCCGCGCCCGGGGCCGAGGCCAGCCTGGACGGGTGTCAGCAAAGCGTGTCAGCAGCCGCGGCAGAGGGATAAACACTGGGCCTGGAGAGGGAGCCTGGGAAGGGCCAGAGATGGCGGCTAGCCTTCCCTTTGCATCAGGTCCTCCGGCTTCTCTTCCTGACCCCTGCTCTCTAGACACGGCGGGGGGGGGGGGGGGTACGCGCTCACTGGGCACTCCTTACCCCGGGGATCCTTAGGAAATCACTCCCCCAAGTATCTGCGGACCCAGCAGGTCAGTACTTCCCCGGGACTTACACGCACCCCTCCAAGGGCAGTCAGGGGCTGGAGAGTGGGCTCTCTAAAGGGGACGAGGGAGGTACCACGTGAGCATCTGCGATGCTTTTTCTCATATAATACTCAGACAACCCCATAAGGTAATCATCATTATCTTTGTTTCTTAGATGAAGAAACTTAGGCTCAAAAGAAGTTCAGAGCCATGCCCACATCTTGCAGCTTGTAAAAGAGCCAGCTTTTGAAGCTAGGTCTGATAGGATAAGAAATACACTGAGGGTCACAGGCAGAAACTCAAGGTCATAGGGAGCAAGGAAAGGAACCCAATCCCTAGAAATACGGGAGCCAGGGGTGGACCTGAGACAGTGGCCCACTTGTAAGAAGACAGATCCAGGAAAGGGACCTGCCCCGGGGAAGTGAGGCCCCATCAAGGAGAGGTGCCCCGATAGACCCATTTCAGCTAGACATGGCTCACCCCCCCACACACACCTGCCCCAAGAGCCAGACTGGCAGGTGAGTAGCAGACAGGCAGCAGACCCAGCTGGTGCCAGGGAAGATGCTCTGGGATAAGACCTTTTTATAAACACAAAAGTTTCCGGCCACTTTGGCCTTTAATGCTGGGGCTTTGGGTGGCAGTTGGAACTCTGCCCCCTCCAATTCCGGTGGACACAGCCCTCGGGCTGCAGCCCTGGGTAATCCCATGGGCAAGGGTTGCAGCTGCAACAAGGGCCCCCCCGGGGGGGAGGCTGCTTTCCTAAGCCCTCCCTTACCCTGGCTCCAGTAAGTTACTTTTTGAAGTTGGATCATTTTTAGGTCAGTTCACCAGGCCCCCAAAACCCCCAGGCAGCCAACAACCTCAGGAGGGGTCCTGTCCCATGAAAAGACCCCTGACTTGGCCTCCATCTCCACCTGAGCCCAAGGCAGTCCAGACTACCAGCCACACACACCAGTTTTGGAAAAGAGAAACCAGCTCCCAGGCCCAGAGAGAGAAGATCGAGTTTCTTCGAAGGCAGGCCCTACCCCCACCCCTTCCTTGAGCTCCTGGAATACCACCACAGAAGCGATCTGAAAGGCTCCTTCGGCCACCCCGTCCTTTCTAGATGTGGAAACTGAGATCTGGACAAGATAGAGTCACTCAAGGTCACATGGCTCAGTGGCAGAGGTGGGGCCAGAAGCCAAGACCCCAGATCCTAGCCCAGATTCTTTCTTTCCATACCTAGCTCCTGGGCCTTCTGGAGCTTTTGAGAAGGAAAGATCCTACCCTGTGGCCCTCCACCGTGTCAGTCTCCTCCCCCTCAGGATCATCTTGTTCCTCTGCTTCAGACAATGCTGCCCATCGAACTGATCCCTCCCTCCCCCAACCACAGTTACAAGCACACGTTGTCCTGTGCTCACAGGGTCATGGGCAAGGAATGTCACCCGCTCCCTGCTCCCAGGGCCCTTGGCAGTCACACCCACCATGGCACATGCAGCCTTGGAGACGGACACATGCATGCTGGGAGGATCAAACACCCACGCCAGAACATTCACCTAGCCTGGGACACTTCTGGAAGCCTCCCCTACTGGGCCAGCCTTAGGGGTGTTGTAGTCCCCATAAAGGGGCTCAGGACAGGAAAATAAGCAATATGGGGACACTGCCTGTTAGACCCTTAAAGCCCAGCTTCAGGCTATGACACCCTCTCACTTGGGAGTCCACAGTTTGTAGCTCTGTCAAAGATTCCTCCCCACAGCCCATGCAGGACCGAACTCATGGGCTACACCTACAGCCCCAAGAGCAGGTTGGGCACTCACTCTAAGCTCTTGGCTCTCAGTCTCTCAAAAACACAGTCAAGACGGCTCAGGCACAATACTTAGTGTCTCACACTTTGGACCATATACCTTCTGTCCCTGCCCCCACACAGCCCCATCCACATCCAGGCACCCAGAGTTACGGATACCTGCACACTTGAGATGTCACACACACTCCCGGACCCCGCAAGCCTGAGCTGAACCTCCCGCCCTGCGCCCCAATACAGTCCCCTTGGCCCCAAACCCACCGCCCCCGGCACCAAGCTTGCCCTCACGACCCCTGGCCCGCGGCTTGAGGCCAACAGCCCCCACTGACTTGCACTAGCCCGATGCAGACGGCCCCGGGCACGCCCCTCCATTCACACTTGGGAGAGCTCGGCCCGCCCCCAGCGCCCCCTCCCCGTCGGCCCCCTCCCCCACTCACTCTGGCCCTCAAACTTGCGGATGATGGTGTCCAGGAAGGTGTTCTGCGGCGCGACATGGCCCCTCCGCACCGGCATCCTGAGCCCATGGGCGGGCCGGGCGGGCCCCCACCCACCCCGGCCCGGCCCGGCCCAACACAGGGTTCGGGTGGCCCGGCCCGGCCGTGATCCCCGCACCCCGCGGCCAAGCAGAGCACGG